CTAAGCATATGGCTCAGTCATTTCTCAAAACCACGACTATGAACTGTATGAGGTTGTCTGGACAGCTGAGTCTAACCGTTTTGACCTGATCGTGTCTTACCGTACGCATACATTGCAGGCCTACGCAATAAGCCAGGTTCATCACCTTATCCGGCGCCGGAAACAGGGCTCAGCACGACATCGTTTCCGACAGATTCTGCTCTACAAAAGTCGCCTCTTCGGTGAGGCAGCAACGGCGGCCACCAAGTGCCGTGGAACGGCACCAAAGACGCCGCTGGATGTGAGCTACCAGGTGCGAGTGCGTTCTGATCTGTTGCGCATCGAGAAACGCATGAAGATAATCGGAAGGAAGCTCACTAATGCCAACATGACTGAGGCCCTGCGAGAAGCCCACGCGGCTGTTGCGCGTGTAGCAGACCTCATAAATTGCGTGAGTCCTTTCTGTTATCGGCCAACATGATCACATTTTTGTCATTGTTCAGAGGATCAACATCACAGTTTACGTTTTCAAATATTCGGTCCCGAACACACATCGAGATAAAGTTGAGCATAGGTTTTACTTTTGTCCCAGATGGCCTCAATCGTCCTGGGAAGCCTCTTGAACAGTAATCGACGCATCAATTAGTTTCAGCCAGAAGCGCATCTTGCTTTTGTGGGTTCCTCTGCATAACGGTGCTTAACGAATATTGCTGGAATCATAGGCTATGCGCTTCTAGAGTACCAAGAGAGCACTAAAGCAACACCCAAAAACAGCGTCGCAAATCTTTTTAGAACTGATAATTCCCTCGGGTAGCCTAAGAGGATTGTAATCTTTTTATATCCTCTTTTTATAGAGGATATACTCAAGTTGCATTTTGCGTATCTTGACTACATAATAATAAGGATCCAACTGTCATATAAAATAACTCGTGTTTTGGTGCAGAGAAATGATCACTCGTCTTTAACGTTGGAATATTTTAGGTGTAAAACAAACGGGAGGATATCTAAACTACTTTAGATCATTGCTTAGCTGAGCTATTAACAAAATCTGTCGAAACCAAACTAGAAATACCAGATTTGCATCTTTATGAAAACTTCAAAACCTCCAACTTAAAAGTCTACTCTATCCAGTTTATGTAATTTTTGTTAATGCGTGCACGTTGTAAAAAATATGTTAACCAGTTATACAGAAAACGTTAGTATTTTAGAGCCTCAATCCCAGTTTTTGTGATGTACAATGTCACTTTGGATAACCTTTACACCCGCAGAGTTAAGCCGTT